TAACCTTGCTTAAATAACCGTCGAGTAATTGTTAGCTTTTAAAGTTTGTCTTCAAACTGTGTCAATTAGTAGATGTATGTATTACCTTTTTGTCAAAAGTTTTGTATCTTTAACCTTTTCAATGTTTTTTGTTTCTATTTCTTTCTTGCAAATTTATTGAGTGTTCGTGTTTACTTCGTTTAATTTAAATTTGAATCATATAAAAATCAAGGCTTATTTTAATTCTGCGTTATATTTTTAAAACTTACTTTTTCGTAAAACATGACGGTTTAAGTTCAAATACGAAAAATATTTGTAGCTTTGTGTGGGGATATAATAATGTCATAATATATAAAAGTATGAATAAAATGTTCTATGTACAGTTTCAGTCTTGATTCTTAATGTTCAGCTTTTCTTATAGTAATGGCCTACAAAATGGCTGAAGCCTGTTATTTACAGTTTTCAAATACAGGTTGATACTAAAATGTTGCCATTACAAAATTACAATGATTCAGTATTATAATTATAATCGTTCATAAAAATATTTCTAAGAATTATATAATGAGATATTTACTAAGTTTTTCGCGAATATTCATTTAAATGAAAATAATATTTTTCGGATTTACTACGCTATTTTTTATTTTTGTTAAAAACTACGTAATCCCGACGTTTCGGTTACTTTACAGTAACCGTGATTATGTAAGCACGGTATCGCGTAGTACATCCTAAAAATATTAATTTCATTTAAATTATACTATATACAGGGTGACCTGTGAATTACTATCGATATTTGAGGACGTGATATTTGACGATCATATATGACAAAATAAAAATTAATATAACATAAATATTAATAAACTTCTAAGTAAAGTTAACCAAAAGTTATGTAATTAATTACGCATCGTATGAACACCCTACAGATTAGGTATACACACACACACAAACACACATACGCGCGCGGCGGCGTGTTGTTCTATCAGCACGCCGCCGCACGCGTCCACACTTAGAACACTTGGAACGTGTCAACACTTTATTTATTTATACGGAAATTTGGTCAAAAATTAAGTACCTATTTCTTTTACATAATTCGAATGAGAATCATGTACCGAGTATCCTCCTTAAATATTGATAGTAATTCACCAGTCACCCTGTATAATTAGTACGGCACGGATGGCGGCACTGTTTAAAAAATTAACATAAAAAAGTTCTATCGAATAAAATTAAGGAAAAAATAACTATACGCTTAAACCGGTTATTAAAAATCCAACTGATTCCATAAATTCCACACCATTAAATTTTCCATATACCTAAAATAAGTGTTTTAGTGTGGTTTTATTACATAAGAAATATTAAATTTCTCAAACATTTATTTAATCAATTATACTAAATGGATTAGTGTGTCTTAATTGAGAGATTTTATTATTACCTAATCTGTATTTAATCTGTTACTCCTACCTTCTAGCCTTTACAATATATGAAATATACTTATTTATAAAATAACTAATATATACATATATATGTACTACATATTATGACAATTTATTTTAATATAATACAAACAAGTAGGTACAAACGACGGCCATATTTTGTGATAAAATACGAAAAATATCAATTACTTTTTATTTTAACATTGATAAAACTATCAACGTAGACTTTATCAAGCAGATAGTCCAACACGCCCTCTTAATGTTATATAAAATATAACGAAATAAAAATATATTGTAAAATTTCCAAAACACTTTATCAATCTGCTACTGGTATTACGTTTCAATTGGATAATACAACTTTATTTATTTTCTGAGATCATGTTTTTTTTTTATTGGATAAGACTACTGATTTGCAAGTCACTTAGTCTGGATATAAATTGTATAATACTATCAAAAATTAAAAAAAAAACTTTTAATTTCGAATCTGTAGTTTTTACTCCATATTTTATTGAGATTTTTTTGTCGAATCAATATGTTATAATATAACATAATATACAGGGATGTGATTATACTAGCCAGTGGTGGCCTAGTGGTTAAAAGGCCTACCTCTCATGCACAAGGGCGTGGGTTCGATCCTGGCCCTGGCAAGTACCAATGTGATTTTTCCGAGTTATATGTACTTTCTAATAGTATTTAGACACCACTAATTAATGCATTCCAAAGAGGGTTGATGTCAGGCAATCGAACGGTCGTTTAAACGAATAGCCAAAACTATTCACAACATGTGGGGCAGACCCTGGCTGAAGATGGGAAATTGCCAGGTAGAAGAAGATACAGTGAGGTGATTAAGTAATATATACAAATATATACATATAATTTTTTATTTCCTCCATATGCTTAATAAAATGTTTGTTTACTATGCTACTTAGAGGTAAAATAAAATCTCCTTTGATTTTGTCACAAATAGAGCTCACCGAACACTCAGTATTCTTACGAAAGAGGAAATTACAACAGTAAGGTTAAGTATTCTAAAGAATCCTATCGGAAAGTAAAAGATTTTATCTTGGAGATGAAGAATGTATCTTGAAATCTGTCGGATTTTTTAAAGATCACTCAAGACTCGCAGCTTATATAGAGGCAGAAGTTATTTCTTTAATGATAATTTGAAAAAGAATTTTGTGGTAATATTAACAACTACTTAACCAAAAAACCCTTGACCAATAGTTTAAGAAAAGTAATGACTAATGCCGAAAGCTGAAAGCCCTACAAGCTTTCGCAATCAGTTCGCATAGTAAAGATCTGATGAGTTTTAACCATGAAGGAGTGACTTAGCCATAATTTTAGCAAAAAAGGTTTCGAAATATAAGCATGAGTTCATTAAACGGTCATTTTTGAGAAGGTAGTTAAGACTCTTAACAAGTCTCCAGACACTCACATCTCGTCTGCCCGTGATCACGGTTGCTGAAAAGTAGCCGGAATTTCGGGATTATGTAGTTTATAATCAAAAATAAATACGCGAAGTAAAATCCGAAAATATTAGTTTCATTTAAATGAGTACTCGCGAAAATCTTAGATCTCATTATCTTAACAATATTACATTTAATAAACAAGAATTGTACTTGCAGAAGACTACGCGCCAGGTCTTTGTCATGAACGAAAGGTCTCAACTTAATGCACTGGATTAAAGGTAAATTTTAAAGAGTAAGGTTTGTTTTAAACATTATTGTTTTAAATATTGGCAAAAAAATATTCCCAGCTGTACTTATGACTGTAGTTACAACTTACAACTAATTAACTTCGAACTAATATAATGAAATGTTTTTTTTTTCTCATAAATAAATACACTCTGATAATCCTTAATATTTGTTAAGCACAATTTAAAAATGGTTTCTTTTGTAACAATATTTATGGCTAGACTAAGTTTAATACAAGTGCTTTGCCACTAGCTTGGTTTATATTCCATTATAATGTTTAATTTCATTCCATTATAGTCTTATCTATTTAATACTTGTCTCTAACTATACACAGGCAGTTGTTAATTTTTCATTCATAATGTTCGCTTATGTTAGTACTAGAGGTATGTGAATGGGGAATCGTTTTAAAGGTAATTATTTCGCTTCTTAAGCAGTAGTTCTCAATGAGTAATTTATTGCATCGATATTTATATAAACTTTTTTCATTTGACGTTTTCTAATCAACCTGTATATAGATTTTTATTCTTTTCTAGAAGAATAATTTTGAACTATGTATCGTGAAAACCTTTGAATAAGAATATATTGTTTTTGATACAAAGATTCTTGTATACTTGTAGGTAAAAGAGTTCTATGTCGGGTGTTGGAATAAAACGATTGTATAGTCGGTGATATTTTTTATTATGACTAGAGGTTTTAAATTACAAAACAACCAGTTATCCTTCGAATACATTTACAAAATAATATTTGAACAACAATACCGCACTTATTACCTTTGATATGTATAAAATGAAAACCTCGTTACACTTCATATAACATATATTTACATTATAAACAATAGGTCGTTTAGGATTCTTTAAGTAGGCACACGCGACTTGGTATAGCTAATTTGTTAAAGGTTCTATGTATGCCACTTTAAGATCACTGTAATCTCGATTTTATCTTAATATTATTATGGTTTTAATTACACCGGCTGAGTAACGCCCAGTTCTCGATCTCCCTATGATAGTCGCTACAAGTTATTATTATTTACAATACAACTGGATATTAAAGTATTAAGTACTCGTATCAATAATGAGATCTCAGTTACAATAATCTCATTCTTATAAATTCTGTAACCAATACAATTCCACTGCGATTATATTATGACAGTTTCACACAAAATGCTTATTTTTCTTCATAGTTCTTATACAATATGTATAAGATTTTTTTATGTCCTCTCCAAATAAAAGGAAGGTAGTCTTAGAATATTCGTTTAAATATATCTTTATATATTATATGAATCACAGTGGAAGGATGCCTTAGTGAAGTTATCATAATTTGTTTCATCTTATTTCATTAATTTTATACTAGAGTGTAAAATAAAGATTTAATATATAATAATTACAACTTTGGTGTTCGTTCACTTATTTCGTATAGTATATTTGATGACTCTCCTTACTCTACACTTCGCTTTGGTTCCGTTCATAGTAGTTCAAGGACATGTAATACCTATTAATTTAGGTCTCATAAAAAAAAACTATTTTTAAAACAAATTTTTCATACAGAATCTGTTGCATGTTTATGTATTCATCATTCAGCAAACTCGTAAAACAGGCAAATCATGAAGTCGCTATAAAAATATCCAAGTAAATAACAATTTTTTTTCCATAACCTACATACAATTAAATGCTTCGAAATATAATAATGAAATAATAAATATACTAATAATATATTTACATCGTAGTCACTAGACTATCTATAACGCTAATTCTATTACGTAAGCTTGTAAAAATTGCACACATCGCTTTGGTATAACGTAGCTATATATATACATGTTATTGCCCGCGGTTTCAGATCACATGTATGTATGTAACCGTTGTATATTGCGTCACTATGGCGGGGATTCCCCGCGGGCTGTGTCTCAGAGACGTTCGCCACCGCCGTATTGACAGGCGGAGAGAGGCGCGGAGGGGGCGCGGGAGACGGGAGACACGCCACCGTATCCGCTGCTGAAACCTGATGAGTGCTGCTTGGCCTTAAGCCGTAAGGACGCGATAGATGACGACATGGCCGGGCAAGGCTCAGCACGGTACATGCTGTACGGATTGGGGGGCGCGGTGTACGGGCAGGGAGCTACGGCGCCCCCCACGCCTGACGAACTACCCATACCCCCACCACCCATAGAAGTCGCTGTATTGAAACAGTTGACAGAACCCTGGTGGTGACTTGCCGGCACCACCGACCCCAACGGATTCACCGGCCATGGGAAACTCTTTGTACCTAAAGGACTAGGGACCTTAGCGGCCCAGTTGTTGTAAGGATAGGAAGAGTACAATGCCTCGGTATCGGGGAAGGGCTGCATCAGACCGTTGAACTGAGTACTGAACCCGTTCTTGAAATCCGCCGCCGCCGCTGCCGCTGCGTTCATAGCGTTCCTCTCGCGCTTCCTCCACTTTGCTCTTCTGTTTTTGAACCACACCTGTAACAAGATTTTCGTTTAATTTTATCTTTATGAAATGTATTTTTACTTTGGGAAAGTTTTAACAAGTTTTATGCGGGCGCGGGCTGCATTGCGTGGGGGGCCATTAACTTTACTCATTACGAAGTTGACAGAACGTAGCGGCGCGTCGGTGTAGTCGTATTCGAGCCACGTAGTGTAAGAGGCGAGGGCGGCGCCGACCGCAGCCAACGACCCGTCTAATTGCGGTCGCGGAATGAAGATAAACGAGCATCGCGATTGGACGGGACGGCTCACAGGCAGCGGCTGAGGAATATACGAGCGACGGAACGAACCGCGAGGCCTTCATCAGACTGGTGTTGTTATTAGGGACTGCTGGAGGCCGTTAAGTGTCCGTGAGAACAGATAACGCGCCCGCTGATGTATGGCCACGTCCGTCAGCGTGCGATCGATCGCCGACGTGAGGTGTTCACGATAAATTGCGCAATCCACGTAGCGACTGCTATAAATATTGTACCGCCGTCGGTATTTGTCTCACTCAGTGTGGCGTGTTCAACCAGCCGGAACGGTAAATAATACCCTCTTTCCTCGGTTAAGTGAACATAAACGCTCGTTTCCACCCCATATACGAGCGTTTGTTTTTCCTAACATAAATTTAAAGAATTCGCGTGGTTAAATTTTTTTGCGAGCAGGTTAACTCATATCTAGATTTTGGAGGCTGTTCGTACTCTCAGTCTGCCGGGTGTATGAGATATCGTTTGAATATTTCGCTGAGCGGAATGATATATTCATATCAGTTCATGAACGGGTGAAGTTTCATCGCGGAGGCGTTGGGTTGTTCAATAATGACAGTGGAATGATATTTATTTAGGTGCACATATGTGGAAATAATTTCCATTATTTGAATAGCGGGCAGCGCGGCGCGCGGCGGGTGGCGGCCCGTAGGCCGGAGGGTCGCGATATTGCGACGGAGGGCTAATCCTTTAAATATATTATTGTAGGATGTTGAGGCTGTCCTCTGTCACCCGTGAGGGGGATATTTTTTTAATGTTTCCGTAATCGATACTGATGGCCTTTTTTATTTGTCAGCTGTGACTAATATTCCGAGGTGGTAAAATAAATGAAAATTACAAAAAATAAACCAATTAATCTTTATGTTTAAGCCTTCATACGGCAAACTTACTTCAAAATATTAACACCTGCTAAAAGTGATTACGTTTTATTTATAATAACCTCACCTAGTAAAAGAATTGTACTGTCAAATTATACCTACATAGGAATCATTTTATCGAGTGAAGAAAAACAAAATTCAAATAAGACCTTTACGATGTTGGGGTCTGGGATTCGCTCAACGTTTGGTCTAAGATTAATGACGTCCCTTTCTGGTGACCTTACTGTATGTGTTGGTATGTACGTTATATCCATTTCCGTGTATTATACACGCATAATTTTCCCATTAAAGTTTCATTTAAATATATATGTCCTCTAACAATATTCATAATGGCCATTTTAGTACCCAGAATTTATTTTCGTTCTTCATCAGTATAAACATATATAAGAAAAACTAAGAAAACGTATTTTCAGTACAAAAATTTAATATTAAACCAAGGTCTCTTCTAAAATCAAACTCTTTCAGTTTTAATAATAAAAACATTGTCACTTATAAGTGTTCCTTTGAATTAATTTCTTATAAGAATCTTTATTAATTAAGTTACATATAAAAAATTAATTATTCAGTTTAATAGGGAACAAAATGAATTCTAATAAGAAAGAATCACTAAAATTGCGTGGTTAAATCAAACTGACTATTGTTATTTTTATAACTAAGTTGATAAAATTTAAAAAATATTGATTATAATATCAAATACAGGCAATATTTTGATAGGAATATATAGATGTATAGTAGTATGAATGATTTTTATGCAAAAATTATGAAGACATATACGTTTATTTACACTATAAGTAACTTATAAAACTTTTATTCAAATTATAACCTGTCTGACTATACAAACAGCCTCTCAAAGTATGACTATTGACAATCATTGAGAGCTGTATTAGTTCAGTTTCATTATCAGTATATATTCCATGTAATTAATAGTTTTGTATAAGAAATATTTTAATATGATTAACCCTGAAGGTCGGGGACACTATATAGTCAAAGCTTCATCCCATTAGTCACGTAGTCCGCATAATAAACGACTATATGAACGATGGGACCGCACTATGCGAATAATAAACCTATTTTACGGTCAGCGGGAAGCTGCCCTGCTAAATTGCCTTAAATTTAAATTAAACCAGAATCACTTTATTAGACTCATCAATCAAATGCCGGTCCATTGGTACTGCTGGTGTTCAAGGTATTATGATATATATGTACATAGCTATTAAGACTATAATTCTGTAATTCTATTTACTTTCGCACTATGCCGAAGTCAAATAAACATGGGCTCGAATAAATGGATATGAACTAGGATTTGACACGTGCCAGATTTAGGGATGTCGCTGTTTATGGTTCATATGAAAGTTTTATATTATATTAAATATCTAACGAAAAGTAGATAAAGTTATAAATAACTATCCAAGGCTTTTCATTATATTACATATTGTTTAAAATTGAAACTATAAAATTTATGCGGTATGCAATATATAAGTGAGAGAAAACTTATATTTGATAATATTTTTATGAATAAAACTAAGTGTCGTTAAATAAGTTGCATTAATATATTATAGGGAGTTGATAACCCTATTTGGCAACATTTATTGAATGCACCCCGCAGAGTGGAAAGTTACTTCCTTGATCGGCGGGAAACGAAAATATTATGTTACAACTCTTATTACTACGGAAAATTACATTGAATTCAGTTTTATATAGAAAATATATGAGATCGGAACACTATTTATGTTACGTTACTAGTAAATCGTAACAAACAAAACACGACGTAAAGCGAATTATTAAGTAGAAGAATAACATCAAAGTTGAAATCCATTCAGGAATATTTCTGGCTGGAGATTTGTTAGAAAAAACAGTGTTCAATAAATATATATAATAGAATTACAAACATACACGAATTTAGCGCCATTCATTAAAATAAATTCTAAGATAAATCCATAGAAAATCTGTCCGATCAAAACACTCAACGTCGGCCTATCAAAACACGAGAGGGATATTTGTTAGACATCTAGTATTCTAGGAGATTACCTCAAGGAAGATGCTGTGTCTTTTAATAACAAACCTTACACAAACAGTATAAAGCTCAATATGTATCGACGGTACTATTTTTGGCTGACCAGATTGAATAATTTAGCAGTGATCGCGTTCGTATTGCATTTCTATTAACTAAAGTGATATTAACGTACCGTGTAAAGTCTATATCAATAAAACACACGAATTAATATACAGGGTGTTACGATAGAGCGATATACGATTTGAATATGAAAAAAAAGGATACATCAAAAGGCTGAAATCAAATAGAGTAAAAATAGAAAGCTTCGCAAATCCCGTTTACATTCAGCGGGCGTAGCGGAAAAACGTGTGGAGCTCGAACGTTGAAATGTTAGTTAAAATAACGGTGTGAACGTTAAACTGTTTGCACGCTGAAATAGACGACGCGCGTTAAAAACATACATATATACCTATACTGAATAAATATTGTAACTGACTACCTTTATATATTAAAAATCATTTATTACTATATTATCAGGATATACTAATTATATAGCATCTGAATGACGTGAGAATATATTTAAATTCCACTGAAGCGTTTGTTTCGTTTCGTCTTGATGTCATCAATCAAAAATTTTAGTTGAAGTTAAAATAATGAAAGAGTCAAGACGAGACTAATTTCTTAGCATTCCATGGATTCATATAGCCAGTGTCGGGTACATTGCGACGCGAATTATACTAAAGTAATATTATATGTAGTTTTATTTAAATGTAATGATATTTGTGTTACACAGTAAAAAAATATTTTGTCGTCGGCCAAATCCAGGATTTTTTTTAAACAACGTCCACAGTATACAAATTACAAAGGTAAAATTTTAGTATAACGTAACTCTAACATTACCACTATAGAGAATTGTCTTTAAAAACATAATATAAAGTATGTGTGGGAGCGATCTCAGCAAAAACATCTGTAGCTTAGGTTACAAATATTACATGTATTTGTATCATAATCGATGGCTTAATCTATCGAATATGCGTTACGTAGAATGAAATATGTCAAGAGTTGTTTTACGGACGATTGGCTTGACGGTTACACCCATCGGGTTCACGGAAATTGGAGGGCGGGTCTTGGAGATGGGGACTCTCTTACGAGAATATTATTTATTTTAAGCAAAAAAACAGTTACAATATTTATTTTTACAAATGATTCGGAATTAATATACATATATACGTGTACCGGATATCACGAGAATCAAAACAGGATCAATAAAATCTTGCAAATATTAAAACGTGTCAAAAATATGTTTAAAACGATAAATATGTTATCTTTCGGTACAATAACTGGCTGTGAGTGTGGTAAAGAAAACATTGTATTAAGATATAGTATTTAAGAAGCAAATGATCAGCCAATGACCCTAATGAGTGGCTAACAAAAATAATGTTGGACGATTTATCGAGCCGCACGCGCACAGATTTATTGAGAGATGCTGGGACGAGATGAAACTAATCCCTGTCCCAGGGGTGGCGATACATGTGTTATATTATAATTATATTAAGGAATAATTTAAGTCTCTTTGTCATTAATGGAAATTTATTGTTATCTTTCATTTTTATCTATTTATTATCAGTTGCTGTATCAATGTTATTCATATTTGATTAATTATTATTATAATTAATTATAATTTCCGGTGCATTATAAATAGGTAGCGAATTTGCTAATCTTTGAAATTCATATTTACATTACCTTGCACGTATAACATTATAAGTATTTTTTATGGATTTTATTAATTTATAAATATATTTTTAAATATATAAATATTATATTGTATATTTGTATAATAATTATTCTGAGACAACCCTATTAACGAGCCCGAGTCGTGTTTTAAAGAGAACACGCCGCCTTTCAGTAGAGTCGGCTACGACTTCATATTAATATACACTTGAAATACACCGGGCTCATCTCGAAATATCAATTTACACATATCTGTGATGTATTACGATTAATTGACTGCGAATTAACAATGTTATTTAGTAAAGCTTATACTCTATAAAGATAACAAAACTATATATAGAATTGACATACGTGAAAGACGTAAGGATCATCGTTTAATATATTAAAATATATTTAATAGTATGACGTCACAGTTTCTTATAAATATTGCGTTAATATATGTTCTTTATTACAACTTCATCCTCATCGAACGCCACTCACACGACACGTTCGAGAGATTAACAAACGACGTTAACACAGAATGGCGAAGAAACCGAAAAATATTCTACGAATTCGTTACATTGTAAATATAGGGCGTGTTGAACCGCAGAATCTCTAACAGGGCCTTCCAAAACTATTGACAGTGTGTGGATGCGATCACAGTTAAGCCGTGGATTATGAAAAGACCGAAATAGACGGTTCAAATCCTCAGGGATTAAGGGATTCGGTGTTCCGTTCGGAGCGGCTACAAAAATATATCGAACGCACTCCGGATGCAACGATTAGTATAAACATCGCGCTCCTTAGTAACGGCCGGGATACAATAAGACTAACAGTATGTAGGTACGGAGCGCCGGCTACAACCAGTGACCCAGTGAGGAATAAGTTACAAGAACACTTAGACACTGATTTAATGGTTGTTAATCTGATGTAACATATGTAGGTCAATATTGACCTATTAAAATGGATATAAAAACCTGACCTTATGATGGGTTTCAATGAATTTAACCTTGAAAGTAAAGCTTCCATTCATGATTTACACGGATAATTTTTATGTTGTAAATTGTATAGAAATGAACACTCCTTAAATATCATTAGGGCGATGTCAATAATTTACATAATTTTAAATTTTATAACTTTTATGAATTTCATGAACCGTCTGTCAAGACTTAACTGAATCTACTGATATAACTGAATCTACTGAACTTTGTTATGTTGAACTTCCCAACAATATACCTAAGTTTCATATCAAACGTATACATACATAATATTATAATATTATATGTATATGAATGTAACTCACCCTGACCCTCGCTTCAGTGAGGTTGGTCCACATGGCTATCTCTTCTCTAGTGGACATGTCCGGGTAACGGTTTCTAGCGAAGGTCGCCTCTAACTCTTGCAACTGTTGGCTGGTGAAGTGAGTCCGCTGTCTTCTTTGCCGCTTGTTCTTCTTATCTCCCTTATCATCCAACGAAGACTCATCAGGCCCGACCCCCGGCGTCGTTGATTCCGTCTTTATAGTCGGCTCAGATGACATTTGACGATCTGTGAACAAAATTATACATTCACACACATTTTTCTGAGCAAGCCGCTAACATAAATCAACTGCATCATACAAAAACATCGTAACCGCAACACTCAATAAAAATATTCATATAAATCCAGTCACAAATCTATGACAGCGTACTCAAGGAGGGACATAAAACGTTCGAGTGATGTCCGCTGAATAAAAATAATAAAGAAATAAAAAATATTGTATCACGACGACGCCAGCGGCCGTTAATACTGTGGATTAGGAGCTTGCGCACCCGACGCTACTACACACATGTAGATCACTTGTACTGAATGATGCACGGCACTACTAACACAACGATATATATAAGGATGAGATCGAAATAAACACGCCGAACATCACTCTTTGACAATAATAACAATACTTCTTCTACCTGGCAATTTCCCAGCTATAGCCAGAGTCTGCCTAACATGTTGTGAATGGTTTTGGCTATGAGTTTTTACGACCGGCCGCCTGCCTGACATCAACCCTCTTTGGGAATCACCATTAATCAGTGATTTCTAAATACTCTTAGAAAATACATTTGACTCGGAAAAATCACATTGGTACTTGCCCGGGCCAAGATCAAACCCGCGCCCTCGTGCATGAGAGGCGAGCCTCTTAACCACTAGGCCACCACTGACTTCACTAACATTACTATTTAACAAAAAGTTCACTTATATACATAAATCTATATATATTGCATGCATTTCAAACCCTAAACAAACATGAACAGTAGCAGTTTAATTTATCTGTTGTATGTTAAAATTAATTTCCCAAATTCTAGTGAACATACTTTAAGGGTAATTATTTCCGACCAAATGTCGGGTAAACATTGGAACTGTGTCGAGGGTAAATGATACCGGTTATTACATCAATACGTTACTGATAACACTGATCGCAATCAACTTATATTGGTTTAATCGAAATCCCTATGTCAATGAACCTGCTGTATAATTGCGACGTAATATAAATTGAGCTTTTAGAAATTTTAATGAGCTGGTTTAACCTGCTTTGAAAGTTTGTCTGTGCAGTTACTGTAATTTTTTATTTGTTATCAATACTACTCTTTGTATTTATTTTTATAACATGCACAAAAAATGATTTTTAAGCTAAACATCACCATAAACATGATATGCGAATTTGAGAACGTAGATTTTTTTCTATACATAGCGATGAAATACTTATATTACATATGGATTGAACTCATATTACAATGATAAAAAAAATGATTATTCACTGTAATAACTCAGAAATCGGGAGATCGCTCTAAACCTTTAACAATTCTTAAAACAAGTAGAACTCATCTTACGATTAAATTTTATGAAGTTTCTTAAAAAACTCTTCCATTTTACAGATTTATAGTGGGAAAAATTACTATACTCTTTTCACCAGCATCTACTATTGTTAAATTATTATCCAAAACTCATTGAAAAAACACAAAAAATGAGCATTTATAATATAAGTGACATTTTAAACGTCGCGTCGGTGGTCCAAGTTTGTTTGCTATTCCTTAACGCCAGAACTAATCAGCTGATTACCCTGGTATATAGAACATCTATTCCTCAAGACCTACCGCCAAGAAAAAATCCTGCCCTTGATTCACTCCATGAAATTTTAACATGACTTATGACTTATAACAGTAGCAATAAATCAATACAACACTACCTAAGCCGCTGCCAAAACATAGTATTGACATAATCTCATATAATACCCTCCAAAGAAATATAACATCTGATTTACGAAATTAAATAACCCAAAGGGCTTTAGGAATTTGTGATATTAAATATTTGTTTCGTACAGCAGTGATAGTTGTATCAGAACATATCTCTGAGTGATAACGTGTTATCACGTACGAATTGTTTTCATTTGTAATTTAACATTATAATCGGATTAACCTTAGAAATTTTATTGCAGCTTATCTTGATTGAAGACATTAACAATAATTAACTTGCTTTTATTATATATACATACATGTGACCTGTATATATTTATATAGGATAGGAATAAAAAATAGTACATAACTTTCAAAGTCATAGTAAATGAATAATGTATCAAGTTCTACCAAAATATTATAAAATACTAATAATATTATATTATTTTTTAAACTTATAAATAAAAAAATATCTCGATCCTCTGATTGACTCCCGATAGAAGTACGCAATAATTTTCTATTTATTTTAACCAACAGTAAAAATATTTTAAGTAACTACATAAATTTGAGTGAAACATTCGTAGCCGTAACCTACTAAATGTTAAATCATCCGGTGTCGTTGATAAGATTAAAGATACACCTTAATTTGCTAATTGACTCAAACCGGAGATGACCTGTCCGAGTCAAGTATATATTTAGATTATGAACACAACGAATATTAGTTTAAAACTAGTTTAAAACATACAAAGGAATATTCATTGAAGTTAATGTACAGTTATAAAATTAATACATAAAATTTCACTAAAAATATATATTCTAAATATATGTATAATATATATTCTATAGTTTTTTGAAGTAGACTTATTTCAATTTGTGTGCATGCGGAGTTTACCTTTAAGTAGTTGTTACACTGTAGTCTGTACCCTAGATTATAGATACCTATTTTACATTGTATTGGTGTAAACAATTGTTGGTAAACCTATTAAATTAAATAATATATATAGCGTACGTGTCATAATGAGTGGGACGGATTAATATAATATGATAATGGGTGTAGGCAAGGCTAGTCAAAGCAATGCAAGTCAAGCCATTCCGCTGTAGGTTAGCCCACAGTTGGCTACCGCGGGCGTAGTTGATTGCGACATCAACAACAGTCGATACATGATAAGTGTTATCAGCGGATCGCTTTGTGAACGCGCCGACCCATCCATCATTCGTAACAAGCTTTGCGTTCAGCCGACACGACACTAGCATGGCAAATAGCGCTCTAACATGTGTCCCGATATCGTTTAACACTTCAGAAAAATGTTATGATAAACCACAACGTTACCTTTAATGTCATTTAAAATGTTATGTAATTGATGTAACGCTTACAAATATTTGGTATCGATAATATGTTGTTTAAATTGTTAGTCGAAGCCTTAGAAAGGTTTTAACGTATAGAACACAGTAGTCAGTAGGTATTTGTTTCAGAGATCTTTGCATATGATATTGACGTAAGTAATGTACGTATGTTACTATTTGATTTTAAACTGAAAATTCGTCATAAGATAAGTACCAAATGATGTTTAATATTCAGAAATCATGTAACACTTATCTAAATCAATACGAGCTGTGACGTGTTCCACCGCGTATTGTTTGTTAGAGGATTAGAATAACTCTTTATTTGATATAAGATTGTATTCTCAGATTTGCACAGTTACAACTTAAAATTTTGATATTTAATTTATTTTGTGTTTCTTAAAAATATGTGTTTAATTATTACTATGTATAATTTTTGTTACGATTGATGTGCTGCAAATATATTTTCATTTTATATATTTTTAAGTTTAAATTTTATCAAAATGACTTTTTAAAATATATGAATATTATTTGGATTTACACAAATTTTCTTTAAAAAAAATGTTGTATTTAAATTTATACAATCTAACAGCATTCTACCTAGCGTGTTTTTCAAAAGTAAATCATAAGAACGTAATGTTAAATATACACGTTACACGTAGCAATAATATTCGTCAACAGCTTAAATCATCTAATTTTCAACAAAAAAAAGCGGTAATTTTCTATCATATTTAGTTCAAAATATATCTTTTACATTTATACGCAATTAAAAAGATTAAAACATGAGGTAATTAGTTACATAATATATAACTGTTCTGTAATTTGAACTGTTTTATAATGTGAACACGCTGTATATGAGTAAATGTATGTTAACTCACTGTCATCGGTGATCTTCCTATCTCTCCTTGGTCTGGGTGGAGCGTATAAAGACTGTTCCACACTGGACCCTGAAGCAAGCGATGAGTGGCCACTGTCCCGGAACTCGCCGGTCTCAGCCCACACTGCAACCAAGACTGTGTCGTTAAAAAAATTGTACTACATATACAGTTAATAACATACATTAATATAAGTGAAAAATTTAAACACGTCGCGCCTAATATGTAGTGGTTTGTTTTCTTAGGAATGCAAAGGGTATCATGTAGATTTGTATATTTTTTTGAGTTGTGAAATAATAAAATGTGACATTTTCTGAAACATTTTTAATCGCATGTCTCTATTAATTTTTTGTGTTAAGATCAGACTTTTCATTCTTATAAAATTTTAAACAAGACATCATAATCGAAAGTATGTCTCCAGAGGAAACAAAACTACATATATTAATTGTGTCAAATATTTTGTTGTTACTTTATAGAAATCATGCGTACAATTTGAGATAAACACCTTCTTCCCACATTTAATATATATTTTTATAAACTGAAGATGAATTATCCCCAGCATAAAGAAGGAGAGTTAAGAAAACAATACGATAATCCAGAAAGTTAAATTTAATCTGAAGGTCATTACGAAATAACATATGGAAGGATATTTGTGCTCCTTTTCAACACATTCGTTAATATTGTTGTATTAAGAGGATCTATAAATGTAATTTAATAATTATATACAGGGCCTATGTCTTTTTACAGAACAAAGTTTAAGTATACAATATAATAATAAGCAAGTACATCTTCTTATGTACAAACTGTTCAGTTTACGTGTTCTTATTTAAATTTATTTCAAGAGCGCTAATGAGCCATTAGTTTAAAGGATCTCAAAACGTATTGGGGGGACGTTGACGCCCCGTCGCTTTGTCGTAATTAAGTGTCCCTGAACACTTGTTTACAAATTACTCACAGGAGACGAGCTCATGTGTGTTAACCCTTATTTATAAATATCGCTCGCATGACAACGGAAACTTTTAAACTACGTAATTTGGATTCCGTATGGGACATTACGTTAAAATGATTATAACATTCCTTACGTAATCTTCCGTGTCAATATCGTCAAATGTTTCTTTCTTTATTTTTGTATCGGACATCTTTATGATGAGAGCGTGATACCATTGTTTTCAGAAAAGTCACGAACAGACAATCGAGGAATCTGAAATGCGGCTCGTAATTAAATACAAATTCAAAAGGCGGTCATGATAATTATATATATTTTTTGCATTTATTTATTATTCCATTCTTTGGTATTTCAATTAAAAATTCGTTTCACTTGTGTACAATCTTATTTAAGATTAATTTTTTTGATACTTTTGGTAATGAAATGATAAAAGGCACTGTTAATTGTGTTATCACATCACAACAAGAACAAACGGCGGTCCCTACAAACGTAAAGTACAGACACTCGTACAAATATATATATACATATACATATAGTGTTTGTTAGTTTGATAAGAGCTGATAATACTTCATTGTTTTATAGGGGTTGTAAAACATATCTTGCTTACAACAGATTGGTGACAGTCGAGAATAAAAGTTATTATTTATAATTAATATTAATTATATTAATAAATATAAATAAAAATAGTTATTAAATATATTAACATATATTATATGTGATATTGTTTAGACAATAGTAATACATAGTTGTGGTCAAATTGAATGTCTACTAAAAACGAAAAATTAAAGATAACTTCTGTCTACTTGTTTTTAATAGAATATTTATAAAACTAATTTTTTCACGCAGACTTGCTCTGCCAAAATTATAAGGTCAATATTTCAGTAACAAAAATATAATATAAAAGACTGTTTATCTGTCATGAATGATTGTATTCGAAACCTCTATAAGTGTTATATTACTGAAACATTTAATTTTTTACAATAATAATAATTCAGTACTCAAGATTTCAATAATTCCGCGTCAACCGCAGATTATCCGCGACCATATCATTTAAATCTATATGAAAAATCTGAATTATTTAGTATTTTAATATATTGCTGATAGATACTAATGACCTTCTTAACGCAGCTTACCGAGTGTACGCTTGTTTTAACATTGAATGGAGAAATGCCAAAAGATTTATATGATAAACAAATGTAAGAAAAATGTTGTTATAATTGTGGTGCTAAAAGTTTGTAATATTTTTAAATTTAATTAAATCGGTTTTTGTATATTTTGTTTCTTTCAATTGTCTTCGCGATGTTAAAATTCGGGAATAAAATATACATATCTAAAATTATGTTGGAATACCTACCTAAATCTGCCTACATCTTTAAATGTAATCATTGACAGAAAGTAATGTATACTAGTTATATTATTACAGAAAAATGTCTGCGTGTGTATGTGTGTGGTTATTCCTCATGAACTCACGAGAAACTTTAAATACCCAAGTCGCATGAATAATGAATAATATCAATTTATAGATAGATACTTTCGATTTATTTCCACCGATTCATTAACGAGACAAGATTCATTTTGATGGAATTAACAAATGATAATAAAGGCGATAATACAGAGATAAATTGCAAACAAAACTATTTATTATATCAATAATATATTTGTGCTAACTATTCATACTACGATGTTCAAGATTGTACTGACTGTACAGTACTTATTATAATTACATCACTTCGATATAACAACTCTCCAGATCGTATTAAACTATACAAATAATACGCATTTCAGAATAACACCAACTGAAAGTATACTATGATGTTAAAAAATCTATAAGAGAGTACGTAAAAAAATATTTTTATAGCGTATTATCATGAGTTTCTTCATCTAAAAGCGGTTGAGAATAGGACAATACACACAAAACCTATTTTAACATACGGTCTTTATGTATAATATTAAAATTTCTGTATAGTGTGATATCATAAACAAAATTTTTATTTGTTTTACAATTATGAAACTATCTTTAGTAAGCAGGTATATGCATCCATTTTCCGATACATTATATAAATTAAATAAATTTTGATATATTACTTTTCATATATGGAAAAAATTCTTACTCATTTAATGACAAATCTTAACCATAACTTCATAATCATATTTACATAGCCGATCAACGTATGTACATTCATTCGTAGTATAATTAATTAATTATTATAATTAAATAGCTGTTATCCGTTTTGCTATAGAATACTTGGATTGAAATCTGTGAGAGTAGAAGAATTATCATGCCCATTAAAATTCGGAGTAATAATCAAAAAGGAAGCAACACCACGAAAAAATGTAGTTTTATACGGCACATAGTACTTGAAGACTTAAAATAAACAATATTATGCATAACATATATACTCGTACATACATGTAAATAAACAAATTTAAAATAAAATGTATTGAGCTCTTTGATTTAAATAACTTAATCACCATACTTGAAATAGTAGACTATACAATTAGATTTAGTGAAATACTCGTAGATTTAGAAACAGTTAAATGTAACATACAACGGCTATCCTCTTATAGATATAATTTTATTTTAAAGAATATATTACGTGAATATGTAATTTCACTTTGAAGTTAAGGTGACCAACAGCTGAAATTTTAATACATATTGTAGAGTTATAGCCATACATTGGTTTACAATAACTCCTAAATGCTCCTCCTATTTTTTTACATTTGAAGTATTACTTAATTATAGTTGAAGTTAATCTATTTTATAACCGCCTTCAAAAATAGAGGTTCTCAATTCGGCTGTATTTTTTTCTTTTAATATATGTTGTAAATGTTTGGTCAACTAGTTCTGTTTCTGATTACTCAGAGGTGGAGAATTCATCGTCATTTTCATATTCATTATATTTTGTCTTATTGTACTACATGTGTGAAATGTAATGCTATATGTTTCCAATAATATATAAATATATATATTACATAACAATATCTAGTAAAACTCATAAGAATTTGTGTTCCGATAAAATATAATCTAGACACATGTACATATGTATTTCCTTGTACACGAACATTTATATCAACTCGATGCATATAATAAAATGTTAATTATTTATTTATAAGCAGATGAATAATTTAAATTCGGACACAGTACAAGGGCGTGATGTTATAAATTGTCTCGTAAAACGTGTGTAAAGAACGTATAAGACAGAATTTTTGTATTTACACTGTAGACAGATAGTCGAGACGGCAAACAGAGATAAGTAACTTTAATTTACGATCTCGTCCCTGAGTGCACGGACTGGGAATGTTACCAAATAATAATAACATACAAAGGTCACTATTAAAAGAAATTATTATACCTTAATATTAATTTAAATAAAAAAAATTCATAAAACTTTGCAAAGTTTGGACAGTGAAGTATGAAGTTTCAAACCGTTTTCATTACTGTAACCACAACTCATATCAAGAGTTTCTATCAAACTAAACACTTATTTACAGTTTAATAGATATAAGGCTACATTCACACTATAGTTTGCGAATATTTATGATTCCAAACCTAGGTACTATCTGAGAAACTAGGCTAAATGTGTGTACAGGTTTCATAAAGAGTAAAGCTTCTAACTTCATACGAGCTGTCTGTAAATGCCCTTATTTCACATGCGTTTTATTCGTTATATTACTACAAAAATAGTACGAAAGTAATATGGAGTGAAGAAATGTTTCATTCTACCTTGATTCGACAGTTGTGAATGGCCTGAACATATATTTTGACTAAAGTCACTGATCTCACTTATAACTATGTAGAACTAGACGATTACCTAACTATAGATGAGATCTGATTATTTCCTGATAAAATAAATCTATATGTTCTCGTCTTGGCATTTTTATTAATACAAATTGTCACCTAGGATTATCCTTTAATTTGGTTGGGACTTATAAAAATGTTATTTATATAAAACTCTTTATTAGATACCTTAGTTTAGCAATGCGGAAATAGCTTTTAGAAATATAATCTAACATAGGTAAACAATTTTTCCTCCCTGTGTTCAATATACTTTGCATCTCGTCAGGACTGTAGGCAGTGTCATAAAAATATGATTACTAGTGAGTCAATATAAAATATGAATTGAATTGAAGATTCATACAATTAAATTTTGATAAACACATAATAAGTATGTAATATATCATTGATTTTACA